TGTTAGTATAGTTAAATTGTAAGTTATGTTAACATTGTAAGTACTAGGTAATTTTTGTATGTAATGTAATGTAAGTTATTGCATTAATCACAAAAAAAAACTGTACATTTAATTTCAACTGTAGTTTAGGAAGTTAGTTAAAAATTAAAGTATTAGAAGTAAAGTGCCATTTTTTTTCAGCCATCACTTTTCTTGACTGTTAGATGGTATCGCTTTCACTTGTATATGTAGCAGCTGCCTAAGAAGTGAAAAGAAGTTACATTATGGTTTGTTCAAACTCAAATAGTAGTACAGTGTCTTATACTGAATGAACGAAATGGTATAAATTGTAGTTGCAGATGAGATCTTAAAGATACCATTTTTTTGTAAAGTCCATTGAATTCAAAAATCAAATTATTATATTTATTAGCATTTCTTGTTTGCTATCTTCTTTGTTACCATCAGCAGTGATTGTTTTGGTTTTAGAAGTCAAGGAAAAATTAAAATGAATTAGTGAATTAAAAAATATTTCCTTTAAGTAGTCTCTTAATTATGATTTTGATGTAGAAAAGTTGTGGTGTCAGAGCAAAAATAGTTAAATAATAAAAATGTATTGAAATTTGTGTTATCATAATGTTGAAAAGAATTTTGCTTTTGGGTGAAAGTATTATTTTTTCAATTATCAATTTTACAGCGCTAATTGTATCTGTTTACTAATCTGGTGGATTTAAGTAAAGGATGGCAGATGATTCTGTCATTTTTAGGCTTCTGAAATGTTTAATGAAAATATTTAGCTTAAGAAATCAAGAGAGAAGTAAGATATTCCCAACTGAATATTAAGTTCAAACAAGACTCTCAAGACGATCTTTGGTGAATTGATACTTGCAACAAGACTTTCAAGAAGAACTTTGTATAAATATAGAGTATGAGTCCTAAAAGGTATGTGAAGGTTATTATTTGTGAATTGGCACTGGTGTTTATAAGGGCTCTTAAATTTAATCATATTTTTACCACAAGCTAAAGGTAGTTTTTCTTGGCATGGTCTTGTTTCAAAAGTAAGTCTTTAAATGGCAAGTTGCATTACATTATTTTGAGTTTCAGTTAGTGAGCATTGTAATGGTCTCGAGCTGAGTGAATTGATCTGAATCAAATCAACAGTATTCATTGTCATCACAGACTTCATTTAAAACAAATTTATATTTAAGATTTATTGTTAAAAGTTGTCGAATTTAGATTTCTTCAAAACTTGTTAAGTATCCATGTAGTGAGATCAATTCATCTTCCGTTTGAAAGTAATACACCGTATTCATAAATGGCCGCCACGCGGAGCGGCCTGGATTCGAGTGCATGAAAACGAGGCGAGAAAGACCAAGCGAGTAGACATGGAGAGCTATTTATGCCGAGTGGTTAGATAAGAAAAACGCAAATTATTTTCAGTTTTCTGTATTTTTCTTGAAACATTAGACAAAACCAGTGGCCAGTCCAGTTATTTGGTTGGAAGTGCTTTTCAGCATCAAGATCAATTGCATGATATATTTTTCTCACGGACCCCACCTGGCTATTTGAGTGCTTATTTGAGTGTCATCGCCTTGAAATAAACATTGAATACTCTGACGAAAAAAACAAAAAAGAACAAAAAAGGACAAGAAACAATAGCCAAAAAATGCTTTTAAGAATTATACAAAGGCTCAATGACGAGTTATCTTTTGACTCATTCAATTTAGACCGCCGGTTTCAAACAACACTTCCTGTAAACAAATGCGGATGGTGTCAAACCTTTTAGTGTTGTCTGTTCTGGATATTATGCATAAAAAATGTGTCTTCAATATTCGATTCTTACTGCATGCTGTCCTCTCAAGAAAATTAATAGACAAATGTAAAAAAAGGGTTAAGAGCGAAGGCTTCCATTTGCCCCAAAAAGGTACTCCATATCTCTCCAATCGCAACAAAATCGTATATGGAATGTGGAGCGTGAGATACAATTTGACTCAATCAAAAACTCGTTACTCGAACTATTGCACCAAGATTAGAGAAGCTGTTATTTTAACACCGTTTGACAAGATGTCGTAAAGTTTATTTTTACTCTCTTTGATGTTGCCTTTCTAATTTATCAGAACTCTTGCAATAATAGGATAGCATGGAACATACGAACTGAAAATTTTCTTATATTTAACAAAAAACGATATGCGTCGAACAAGGAATTATCGGTAAATTTGCGGCCACAACGTGTTAACTACCAAATGAGAATGCAACAAGGGACGGACAGCAATGGCAAAGTGCAAGCTTCTAAAAATTTCAACTTTTATTGTCACCTGTCATTTAACTGAGCCTATTAATGAGATATGCAAAGGCCGTGTTAGATTAATTCACCCGTAGCAATATTGAGGTAAGTGTGAATTTATATCCTCTTCAACATTAAAAATGTAACCGAGTTAAAGGCATGAGTGCCAAGTTAATTACATAGCGTAAATAACCTACTTATAACTGAAATTACTCGCAAAACGTTCTGCAGAAATTGGCCCCTTAAGAGACGTCTTGAAGGTGTGCGAAAGAGCTGCAATATGCATCGTCTTACATGAGACATGATCTGGTTTAATGGACCAAACTTAAACGTTACACTAACTTTTTTCAAATTGTTGTCCGTTTTTGTGACATGATTGTACCTGAGAGCTTATTGAATTTGCCAGAAAATTATCGTTATTCATTTGAGAGCTTCGAAGAAGCCACAATTTGTGTGGTCAACAAAACAGCAATCGGCCAGTGGTAATTGATCAACGCAGTGCAAGAAAGAACCCCAATTGGCGTAATTAGGTCACTTTGGGTGTTTCAGAATTTGTTTGAAATGGCATGGTAGCTTAGGTTTTGTTCGCACTTCGGGGATATTGCGTCTTGTTACGTTGTCGCGTTCAAAAGTGACATGTTTTCTGTGTCTGAGGCGCAGTATTGTGCAGGTAACTAGCAGGGAGTGCAAATCACTTCCTAGCTTAAGTACAAGACACACATGAGAAATAAAAGGAAGAAACATTGAAATCAGCAAGGGAGGGCCGGTTTGAGGGGGGAAAGAGATAATATGTGTGCTATGTGGACTACTCTTAACACAATGTAATGACATCATTTCTGACAACAACAGTACAGTCAAATGGGTATGTAAAGGGGGGGTAGGGGACTCGTACCCAGAAAAAAAGGAACCGCCCAACAGACCTTACTTTGGTTGCTATGTTATTGTATGTGATTTATGGTATGGTAATTATTTTCATATATGCATCTACGCCTTACATTTTTCCAAATACAAAGCATTCTGTGTTTGTGAACCATTTTGTAGCCTTTGTTATCAACTCTCAATAATGTTATAACAGCTAGTATCCGAGCTGCGCAATAAAATTTTGTGATTCTATTTCTTTTTCAGAGAAAAATGGTGAAGTTGGTCTGTTTCCTTCAATGGAATATTTTCCAATTGACTCTTGTCTTGGAGAGGGGCAGGGTGACAGCGTCACTGACGCTGTCACCTGTGCCCCTGGCACTGCGTGGCCAGCTAGCCCTTTCCGTGGAGTATTGTGGTAAGTATAGCTGCTACTGGACATTCTTCTTTGATGATAAAGTGCATAAACTTCACAAACTGACAATGAATTACATTTTTTCTTTCAATTTGTTGTAACCCTAAAGAAATTTAGAAGGAGAATTAACCTTCACAGAATGCCGTCGATTTTAAAAGACTTCAATTTCAGTAAGTGACCAGGTGAAGATGGCTTTACAATAGAGTTCTATACAAAGTTCTTTGAGCTTCTACCTAGCAAGCTAGTTGAAAGTCTTAACACAGCATATTCGAATGGGGAGCTGTCAATTTCACAGAGAAGGGGGGTTGTCACCCTTATTCTAAAGGCAGATTCTGACACTCTGAAGCTCACACATTGGCGGCCAATAACCCTGTTAAATGTTGACTACCAGATTGCATCCAAAGCAATAGCTACACAAATTAAAGAGGTACTTCTGCAGCCAATACATACTGGCCAAACAGGCTTTATGAAAGACAGATTTATTGGTCAGAGTATACATCTACTACGTGACCTCTTAGAACAGACGGAACTGGAAAATATACCAGGCATTCTCCCCCAGCTTGACTTTTGCAAAGTCTTTGACACAATCCAGTGGCCAATGATTCAGCAAGTTTTGTCAATTTTCAACTTTGGTGTTTCTATTAAGTGTGCAGTTTTTTGCCTGATTCAAGCATTCCAAGGTGAAGAATTTTAAAGCTTTCTATGCAGCAGGTAGTGCTATCATTTTAACACATGAATAAATTGTAGTAAATGAAATTCTGCGTTCAAATTTGGAAAAAGAACAATCAGTAAGGAAATTTCCAACTACTTCTAGGCTGTTTTTATGTGCATCTCAGCGATGTGCTATACCATATTTTGCATGTATCAATTTTGTTATTCACGCTATGTTACTTTACACCAAAGATGCTGGGACTCTTTAAGGTACAAAGTTCCACATTTCAACACAATCTTAATCACCTAAATATTGCATTTTCATTGCAGCTTGTGTGAAAGAGTTGATTTTCTGGTTGTCATTCCTGTAGCACATTTCGCATGCAATCCACGCAATCAGACATGCAAATGCGTGGGAATTTTAACTGCGAATTATTTCCTTTCCTAGATTTCTTTTCGATTTTATTTGGCAGAAAACTAACAGTTTAGCAACTTAATAAAAGAAACAATCTCATAACCACAGACTTGGTAGTTTGGCAGCTAGGATCATTTCGTGAGATCAACTGTTTTTGTAACATAAGTTGCGCACAATACGCGCTGTTGTTACATAACTCAGGTTTACGTTACAGATACTGCAGTTATGTCTGAGCTTCTTATTGGATGAATTTGGAGGTATCAAATTTGTGTGTAAAAACGAAACTTGGCCATGTTTTGGCCTCTTTTGTCTGCTACTACTATGAAATTGTCCTACTGAGATTTCTTATCGACAATTTTAGTTTAGTTTATCCTTTCCATTCGAAATTCATCCAAGTTTACTTGTGTTCCCTTATTGGATACATTGTTCTTCTAAAGCCAGCTCTAGAGGGTAAATTGAAATATCATTACTATCAGATTCATGACTTAGTGTCCACGATGTTCATTTGCTGTATGTGCTTCATTCACAGAATTATGAACCAGATAGTCTGCTATGCTCTTTGCATGGAATATTCAGGTAAACAGTTGCGATTTCTCTTCTGTCTATTATTTTACCATACTGATGTTGCAAAAAGTTCTAAAATACAGAAATCTTTTTCCACAGTGCCTAAACAGTGCTGAGTTATTGACTGATATTGAGTAACCAAACTCAAATAGATCTATTCAGGTAAAAATTCTGCAATTTGCTCTTTATCTATGAAATTCCATGTAACAAATCGATTAATCTAAGCTGATTTCATTTTGACAAAGCGCATTCCGTGCTGGTTTAACTGCTGATTGGCCTTAGTACTTCCAGAAGTCTCTAAGGTATGTATTAAAATGATGTTCTAGCCCTTATTTAAAAAAAAGATTTTGCAGTTATTTGTGCTGTATACAATTGAGCATTTATTTTAGAATTTAATTTCATGATCTTCAGACCTCTAAAGTACTATTGAATTTATTTCAGGTTTTATTTCCCTCATCCTCAAGGAATTTCACTGTCTATCTTTGGTAAGTGAACTTACTTTTTATTCAATAATGCAGAAACAGCTCTGACGATAATTTAAAATTAATCAATTAATATATTCGATTTTTTTGCTAAGTCTAAGCGCCCAAAAGTTTTCAACCCGAGCACAGACAACACTTCGTCCAGAAATGGATAACATATGCACACCAAACAAAAGAAATTTTGGTCTTAAACACAGCATTAGTTTTGCGCTACGCATGGTCAACTTCAGTATGACAGCTTTCTTTATTCTAAGTTTCCAAAGAGTGCTTGAAGATCAAAAACGGTTCGATATTCACTGAATTATGATTTATTTGTTACCTTGGGCGGCTTTGGAGTCTTGCACGAGCTTAACTCAATTAAGGTCCATTGGCCAATGAAAAAAACGAACTTAGTTCATTTGCCATATTGCTCCTAGGAAGAACACTCTCTCAATTTGCGCCCTTCAATTTGCTGAGCGAACAAAATTTGGTGCGCTTTCATAGACTGCTGCTACTAAATTTCAGTCAGGCGGAAAGTAAAACGCCTAGTCAGTTTAACAAAATTCAGTTTCCATTTGCGATCAATCTGCGAGCCGAATTTTCTTTGCCAGGCATGCCGTTAAAGCCTTGGCACATTCAAAAGTGGTGTTTTTGAGAAGCAGAAAAATGAAACTTTTGATGACCAGTGCAATTATGACAATAACAGCACCCATGCTCATAGCGTGCCCAGACTAGAATCTGTTTCTGAGATAGAGTCAGGTGAAGCAGGAGGGCAACACCTCCGAGGGCTTTGTTGAGCGTTGAAAAAGAATCCAATGACACTGGCTAGTCCAGCGAAATTTCTCCAGGAGTCTTCTACTTCGATAGAGGTTTCTGAAGACCAAAAAGAAAAGAAAACTGGTGTTACTTTTAGTGAAGCTGAAAATGTCACCTGGTTTGCGTTCTGAATTGTGCGAAATAAGAAAATTTTACTCCAACAAACTAAACTGCAATCACGAAGGAAACGCCTTACAAAATAATACCCTCGACAAAATGTTGGAAAGAACTTGCGGATTTCTGTGGTTTTTGAAAAATATAAAACATCTTGATCCGGCCTTCATTCACTGTGCAAACCCGGAGTTGGTACAAGAGTTTGTGCAGTTCATGATGGATAAGTGAGGTGTAAAACCGATTACCTGGCGCCGATATATTTTGGCCTTAATCAATGTCAGCAAAGTACCGCTTGATTCTTACGGCAGCTCGGATAAAGGGAATCGAGCGAAGTCCTGGAGAAAATTAGAGCCGTTCAAAGACAACTGGAGTGCTTAGCGAGAAAAGAGTGGGTAGACGCCCAGAAGTCCAAAAACCTCAGTTGGAGAAGGTTGTCTATTCAGAATTACTCGAACTTTGTCACGAATTAAAATGGGAGGTCGAGGAAAAGAGCGGATCTGGTCAGGCAAGGAATTGCAGGAATTTATGCTTGCTATTATTATATTGTGCCGCAAAACCCTGGCCACGTAAAAGAATATGTCACACTGAATTTACAACGATCAGAATGCAGATCAATCAAAGAATCAAAATTTTATATGTTTTAACGAAGATGGCACTGTCGTTTAGTTTGAGGATGACTACAAGACTCGGCCTACTTATGGTCCAAATCGCACCGAATTAACATCACTTACTTTTCTAAATTACTACTTAAAACTTTATTGCACCAAATTAAGGCCTCTCTTACTGTGTGGGAAAGCGTGACTACGTTTTTGTCAATTAGGGAGGCGATCCATTTTTGCAGACTTCTTACGGCAATTACATTACCGTCTTGTTCAAGAGATATTTCAATCTAAAATTAACCACGGTGGATATCAGAAAAGCTGTTGTGAAGTACTTTTTGATGTTGCCTCAAAGTGGCAATTATTCCTTAAGAGAGTCATTTGCCATGTTAATGAAACATTCAGTCAGGACACAGAAACGTTATTATGATGAAAGGCCTTTGGCTCAGAAGAAAAGCAAGGCATTGGATTTGTTAGGCTCTGTGGCCTCTCGAAGCTTAGGGGAAGGCTCAGTGGAAATTCTTAGCGACAAAGACGAAGAATTTAACATCGAATATCTACCAACACAGGGAGAATCTGTAGTGTTCATAGCAGCCAATTCTACCAAAAGCGTTCCTGAGGTTTTTGTGGCTAAAGTGTTGAGGCTTTCTGTTGATTGAAAAACTACCTATCTGGCAAAGTTTTCAGAGTTAGAACCGGGAAAATTCAAGCTGAATGCAGGGAAAAGTTACAAAGAAGCCGTAAACGCCTCGATTTATCTAATGGATATCGTCTACTCCCACTCCAACGGCATCTACGAGTTAAGAACATCCACTTGGACGACAGAGCGAACGACATGCAAACGACTACATCAGTTCGGTAAATACTGTCAGACGAATACGCCAACAACTTTGGTTCAACCACCGCTGCAAAGACCAGGGTCTTGTTCCGGCCGGACTTAAACTTAAGTCCCCATTGAACACACAAGAGGCCATCCAGATCATCAAATCCACCTGCAGACGTCTGGTCAAAGCACGGATAAACGACTGTCACAGAAGACTCAACTACTGCAACAATAGACTACAACAACAACTTGACAAAC